AGTGCTTTCTGTGTACCAGGATCCTTAGGGGTACATGCTACCTTGCCAAAATTATGAAAATCAACATTAACAAAGTTATGAAAATTAGCATTAAGTTTTCTTTACTTGGACTTACTATCTGTTTGGCATTCCATTCCATCTGAAGGCAGGACACACAAATCTAGTTTTATCTATTTCTTTTCTACAGCTGCTTCTGATTTAAATCCAGTCAAATCAGAATTTTTCCTCCCTCTCTCCTTCCCCCACCGGTGGCATCTAAGCCCTGGTATGTTTGCATGGTGACAGTGTCATGGGCCTGTGGAAGCCCTTTGCTCTCCCTGTTTTTTTTTTTTTTTTTTGAGATGGAGTCTCACTCTGTCGCCCAGGCTGGAGTGCAGTGGCGCAATCTCGGCTGACTGCAAGCTCTGCCTCCCAGGTTCATGCCATTCTCCTGTTTCAGCCTCCTGAGCAGCTGGGACTACAGGCACCCGCCACCACGCCCGGCTAAGTTTTTGTATTTTTAGTAGAGATAGGGTTTCACCGTAGCCAGGATGGTCTCTATCTCCTGACCTCATCCTCGGCCTCCCAAAGTGCAGGGATTACAGGCATGAGCCACCACGCCCAGCCTCTCCCTGTTTTTTATAGCGATGTTCACTGCAGTCCCTATTGATCTGTGTGGTCTTTCTAATAAGTTAGCCTTTCATGACACTCTTCTCTGGGGTGTCCACTTTCCTATCTGGCCCATGGCTAGAAGGTGTCTGCAGCACAACTTACCCGGTATGCAGTGTCAACAACCATACCTTCACCCCCAGTGTGTGACTTCTTTGGGTCAACAAGCCTGCTCTGTCAGCAAAACGTCATCTCTACCCTTAGATCCTTTACCACACCTACAAAGTCCCTTTGCCATGTGAGGTAACATAGTCATAGGTACCACAGATTAGGAGGAGAACATCTTTGGAGAGACGTGATTCAGCATACCACAGTCACTTTGATGTTTACCAACTGAAAACATGAGTATCTTCCCCTCGCTGCTCTGCTTCTTTAAGGGGAGTACATGAATATGATTTTGACTATAAATGTTAATGTTTTTCTTAAATTGTCTTTATTATAAATGTGTGCTCACCATGAAGAGATATGAAACGGCACTTGTAATCTCTGTAAGACCTAATTTTCAGTGGGATAGTGATTATTTCAATGACCTCTACAATGCTTGTTTGGTCAGAACATAACTCATTTCTTATAGTTAGTGCTGTCCAAAATGAAGTGCAAGATGATTTATTTGTATTTGTAGGAAGAAAGTATTAGTACACTTATGCGTATTTATATGTTTGAAAGTAAAAATTTTAAGTTTTTCTAATCACTCGTGGAAGGATTGACACGCATATGCCTTTTTGGCTGGGTTTGTCACACGTGGTATAGAGAACATGATATATTCTGAAGGCAAATGGGAGTTCCATACTGTGCAGAGGTTAATACGGGTGCCCCCTCTTGATCATTTGCTTTCAGCGTGTTGTGATGTATTGTGGCATCACCTTGCAAGCAAGATGTTTAAAAACTAAGCAGGAAAAACATGAAGAAAAACTCCTACAGTTTTTTTCAGTGATGTTTAAAGTCAAGTAAGATTTCAACCTATCCTGATAGGATATAATATACTATCTGTAATGATAGATGTTTAGAAGCTTCTGATATTTTATTACGTAGTAGCAGATGACAGAGGTGAATACCTTTCTTTGCTCTTCCTTCCTTTAAACTTCCTGAGGTTAAAATGACTGAAATAACATATTGAAAATAACATGGAGATGCCTTTGTCAGCAAATTTTGCTGGAAGATGCACAGAAAACATTGAAGTTCAGAAGAAATGAGTGTGAGAACAAATAATTCAGTGTGGGAGGTTTGCTACATAGTGTGTTTGTCCCTATCATAGCTTATGGTATTTGCAAAATTCTGTTGACAAAATACAAGAACTGCTACTATTAATGAGCCATCCAAAGAAAAACATTCCAGAAGACAAATACTAAACAATAAGTTACTTCTTTATGAAAAACTATGATAAAATTGTAAGCTTACTTAACATTGATGGAATAACTATTCTGCAATACAAGGATTCCAGAACAAAGTTTTAGACAGCCTCAGATTTTATCATTACTAACATACTATTTTTACTGCATAATTTGTTGCAAGTTTTAGCCTTAAAGAAATGGAAGCCAGAACTTTATAAATGTGGTTAATTTTATAAAAACGAGGTCTTTACTAGACTAGAATAACACTTTGTAATGAGATGAAGAATGACCTTGAACATTTTGTTTTGTTACAAAATTGTGGGGTGGCTTTGTTTTCATTACTTTGGCCATAGTTGAAAATGTTCTGCATTTTTTATTTTTCAAAAAAAGCGCTTTCCAAATGTGTTGAACTTTTCCTTGATAAATGGTTGTTATAGTTTCCCTGACAGATATTTAAAATACAAATACAAACTGAATTATATTTTCTTGTCAGATAAATGTCACCATTTAAAAATAAATAGGAAAACATTTTGAAAGAAATGTGATAGACTGTTTTCAAAATTAGTATTTTAAAAGTTTCCATTGTGGCCGGGCGCGGTGGCTCACGCTTGTAATCCCAGCACTGTAGGAGGCAGAGGCGGGCAGATCACAAGGCCAGGAGAGCAAGACCATCCTGGCCAACATGGTGAAACCTCGTCTCTACTAAAAATATAAAAATTAGCTGGGCGTGGTGGCGTGCACCTGCAGACCCAGCTACTCAAGAGGTTGAGGCAGGAGAATCGTTTGAACCTGGGAGGGAGAGGTTGCAGTGAGCCGAGATCGCGCCACTGCACTCCAGCCTGGTGACAGAGCCAGATTCCATCTCAAAAACAAACAAATAAACAAAAAAAGTTCCCGTTGTTATACATTTTTTGCAAACAAACTATTTCATGCATAAAAATTCTCATCAGAAATTAATATGTTTAAAACTATTTTCAAATGATATATTTTATCAGGGTTTGAACAAATTTATGAGAATATACACAAAAGGAAGAGTCAGTGACTATCGTGGAATGGAAATTTACTAGCTCATTTTTAACAAAGCCTCTGCTTAACTGGTAGACGCCATTGAGTAATGAGTGCCAGGATTTAGTAAACCAGCCACAGACCAACTCTTTTCACCTAATTTTTGTATCTACATCCCTTTGTGATAGCCATGCAGACCAAGGATGCCCACACACTAGCTCACAACCAAGTCTCCATTCTTGATCAACCAAGATATTTTGTAAAAATAAAGACTATTAATCATACTATGTTTGCAAAAAAAAAAAAAAAAATCAATTTTGAAGGAGGCACGTTTGTTTTTTTATAAAGCTTATAAATACTGAAAATACTGCTTTTATCTTTATCTCTTTTTTATCTTTTTAGTGTAGTTTAATGATATACACAAAATGTAGTGTTGTATAAGATTTATACATAAATATGCATATTGGGGGCCTATATGCATCTGTATTTGTTTTAAACCGAAATGTCTTACTTAAAAAGATGAGATGAAAAGGTTTAAAGTCCTGGCAATGGAAAGCCAAAATAGTGAAGTAAACTGATGAAGATGCCTTTTAATTCCCTGTCTAGTCTTCCCATCTTACATCCTTGTAATGTATCTTTATGACTCCATGTGAAGGGGATTGCATTAAAACACATTTGCATCTTTGGAGAATTGGAGCGTTAGCCGTAGGATGCACTCTTTTGCTTCTTTCGTTATACCTGTAGTAGAATCTTAAACCCTTACACACGAATCTCCATTTGAAAAGCTGTTGGTGATCAGATAAAACATTGTCTCCCCTTAGTTTTGTTTTTATTTATTTATTTTTCCACAAAAAACTGTTTGTCTTCCAAGTCCGTGAGGGTTCAATTCAAGTTTTCTAATTATTTTGCATTGTCTTTCTGACAATTAGCACTTAGAACGAGGGACAGGATGGTATAAAAGGTGAAGACAGCAGTTAAAGAGTGACACTATCTGAGGCTTAGTGGCTTCCTGCAAATGTAACCTTGATGGCCTTACTTTTCCTCCCTGTGCCTCAATTTTTTTCACGTGTGAAACAAAAGTGAAACAGGAATCACTAGTAGCACCTCTCATGAGCTTCTTGTGACCAGGAACTGAGTAAATTCACTTGAAGCTCTTGGAAAGGTGACTGGCAAATAGAAACAATAGATGTTAACTCTTAGCTTTCTGCAAGAAGTAATTCCTATGCTGTTTTCTACAAAACTTTATTTCTGCTTTCCAGATGAAACAGGATTGACACCATTTTAGAAAAATCAACAATAAATGGCACTGAATGAGACTGTGTTCCTAAATCTGCATTTCTTTGTGAAAATTTTGATTTTGCAGGTTTTTCGTATTCATAACACTAGGTGGCAGTGTTAGCACAGACGGGGGAAAAATACTGCAGGTTTTCCCATTCCCCCATTTCCCTTTCCAGTTTTATAACTTTTTAGTCAGCTTTTGAACCACTGATCAGTCCATATTAGAAGTCTGGGGACACCCCAGTGCCGAGTCCTACAGGACACTGGCTGAGGGATTAACAGGACATTTCAATGATCATTGCCTCGTAGGAGCAAATGTGGTCCATTGCGATGCGAAGAAACTACGTCCTAATTTCTCTATCAGGGGCTTGCACAAGGCTGTTTTTCTGCACAAAAGCTGACTTAGGAACGCTTTAGCTCACTATGCAGAGGCCTGGAGAGTCCTTGATTTTCCTGGAGCGAGCTGGCAGCTTTGACAGAGGCTGTCACGTTTTAGGAATCTCAATGGTCCCCCAGAAAATAAGCCAACGGCCTTTGGCGGGTGGGATTTTGCTGAAGTCATTTCTTTGTGACACTGTGGGAGAGGAAAGTATTTGCCAGGTCACTGGGGTCCTGACTTTAAAATCTGCCAGTTTTTAAACTAAAATGTTTAATTCTTTTTAGACGATTACCCGGGGCTCCTCTGAGAAAAATAGGAGTAGATTGCTGCAATTACCATGGGTTAAAATGAAAGATGGGATGACCTGGCTGTACAAAGGCATAGGGACTCAGGCAGACGAGAACTCCTGCTCCTTCTCTGAATCGGATTTTCCTGACTGTAGAGCCCAGATCAACCCTTCCATTCCATCGATTTGGGTCTCTCTCTCTCTCTCTCTCTATATATATATATATATATATCGATCTATCAATTTATCACGCCTCCATAAATCTGCATGCACACATGTACATATATACACACACACATATTTTTGTTTATTCATTCAACCCGTAAATATTTGAGTGCCCACTGTGTGCCAGTTACTGATCTCAACAACACAGATGAAGCAGTGAACAAAACAGATAACGTCGCCCCTCTTATGGAGCTTATATTATATTGTAGTGGGGGGACACATCAGGTGGTAAACACTGTGAAGTAAAGTGATATAAAAGGATAGAGAGTGGTGAGGAATACAGGGGATTCTATTTATTTTGTTTTATTTTTAATTTGTATGGATACATAATAGTTGTACATATTTATGGTACATGGGATGTTTTGATACGAGCATACAATGTGTAATGTCAAATCAGGGCAATTGGGGTATCACCTCAAGCATTTATTATTTCTTTGTGTTGGGAAAATTCCAATTCCACTCTCTTAGGTATTTTTAAATGGGCAACAAGCTATTGTTAACTATAGTCACCCTATTGCGTATTTCTATCTAACTGTATTTTGTACCCATTAACCATCCCCATTTTATCCTCCCCACAGCCCTTCCCAGTCTCGGGTAACCATTATTCTCCTCTCTATCTCCATGAGTTCAATTGTTTTAATTTTTAGCTCCCACATATGAGTGAGAATATGTAAAATTTGTCTTTCTCTGTCTGGCTTATTTCACTTAACATATTGTCATCTAGTTCCATCCAAATTGTTGCAAATGACAACATTTCATTCTCTTGTGTGGGTGAAAACTATTCCACTGTGTATATGTGCCACATTGTCTTTATCCATTCATCCATTAATAAACAGGCTGATTCCCTGTCTTGGCTATTGCGAATAGTGCTGCAATAAGCATGGGAGTGCAACTCTCTCTTTGATACACTGATTTCCTTTCTTTTGGATACATACAGTGATATATATATTCTTTTGGATATATATATTCTTTTGGACATATATATTCTTTTGGATCCAGCAGTGAGATTGCTGGATCATATGGTAGTTCTATTTTTTAGTTTTTTAAAGTAACCTGCATACTGTTCTCCACAGTGGCTGTGCTAATTTACATTCCCTCCAACAGTGTACGAGGGTCCTAGGGGATTCTATTTTAGATAGGAATTTGCTTGGGAAATTGAGTATGCTGATGTCTTAGCAGAAACCTGAATGAAGTGAAGCAGTGAGATGTGCACCTTTCTAGGGGAAGAATATTCCAGCCAGAAGGAAGAGCACACAGGTGCTCTGAGGACATTGGTGGGTAAGACTTGGGGGCAGGCAGGGGCAGATACAGATTGATGGAATCTGAAACTTAATTAAAGTCTGTCACCCTCTTTGAGAGAGAATACAAACTTAGGTGCAAATGTGAATATTTAGAATAAGAAAATCCCATGAAATCACAAAATTTAAAAAGCTGATAAACTGTGTATGCATAGTCCAGTAAGGCATTTTTATTCATTAACTGCCTGACACATCTGTGTCACTTTTCCTACAGTTTTGGCTACACACTCTGCTTCTTCACAGGTTTCTGACGGATAATAGATAATTTAGTCTTTCTCTTAGAGTAGTTGAGCCAAATATTGACAGTTTACGCATTTCTTTCAGCTTTACGCTTCTTTTTGGTTATGCCATGTAAATTTCTACGATTCTCAAAATTGGGAAAACCATCTTAGAAATTTTCTTTGCATGTGAGCTGTAATATGTGGAAGAATTTTCATGGATTAGCTTCTGATTTTGTTCATTTCAAATCTTGTTTTTTTCTACTGCTGAACGCTCCTAAAGCTGGCTGCCATGTTCATAACTCATTTGACTTATGCCTTACATCTTCATATCACAATATTGCAGGGAGGGTCAGCACAGAGGAGGACAGGAGTTTCCTTGAAACCGTTTCCGTTCCTATGTAAACCAATACATAGAAGCAACTGCAAGCCACATGACTGTATCTCACTCACACAAATGACACATCTTTAAATCAACTTCCCTTCTCCAGGTCGTACAAACGCCCACGGCCACCCCACTACCTTCTGACAAGAAGAAAGATCTAATAGAGGCAAAGTAGAAATGAAAAGAGACAGAGATGTCAACTGATTGTGGTTAAGATATTTTTCTTTTGCAAACTTTACAAACTCTTATGATTTTGTCAATGCATTACTGTCCAAGTAAGGGGCCTACACCTTAAGCTTCATGAGCTCCATGGCAATCCACCTCTGGGGGAACAGGAAGATACTCCTGCCCTACTGTTAAGTCATTGAGGGAAAGGAGGTCTGGAGCATAGGATTTGTTTGGGAGATTAACTTAATATAACTCAGTGTTCAAAACATACTGAACAGACCATAGCTAACAGATTTCCCGTCTTTTACCTTTGTGCTTCACCAACATGTATGTCATGAATCCGTGGGATAAAAAGACCGCAGCTTTGGGAGTGATGATTTCACTGAAAGTGCAGTGGTGGATAAAGGGGAAGCAGGGTTAGGTAATTTCACTGGTAAGTTACTAGTCATTTTAACATTGAAATATTTTTAAAAATATAATTCTCATTTGTAAAGTATGCAGATTGCATGTGACTTTTTTCTTTTTTTTTTCGAGATAGGGTCATGCTCTGTCACCTAGGCTGGAGTGCAATAGAACATTCTCAGCTCACCGAATCCTCAGCCTCCCAGAGGGTTCAAGCCATCCTCCCGCCTCAGTCTCCCAAGTAGCTGAGACCACAGGTATGCATGACCAAACTTGGCAATTGTTTTTTCTTGTAGTACAGATGAGGCTCTTACTATATTGCTCAGGCTGTTCTTGAACTACGGGCTCAAGCAATCCTCCCACCTTGGCCTCCCAAAGTGCTGGGATTACAGGTGTGAGCCACTGTGCCCGGCAGCATATGACTTTTTTTTTTTTTAAGCTAAAACAAACTTCCAGGAGAATTTGTCCCTTGCAATGGCCTGGTTTAGGGACATCACCTCTTCTTCAGTTAGGGTTTCTTCAGTAGAAAATGTAGAGAAGTTGCATCCTATATAGACTATGACCCCTTGTCTAGAAAGGTGACACTTCTGACAACACTGGAGCTGACAAGTTTTCTTCCTAGTTATGGTTATTTGCATGATTTATTTGTGGGATGAGAAATTATCTAGGAGAGAGGCTAAGAGTGCAGGTTCTGGCACCGAATTTCCTGTACCGGACTCCACTGCTCACTCCTTGGGTGAGGAATCTCTCTGTCTCAGTTTTCTTTATCTATAAAATGGGGATCATAATAGTACTACACAGATCATGCAGTTGTTATGAGCATTCCCTAAATTAATTTTGGATGTAGGACAGTGACTTGGTACAAAGTCAGTGTTCAGTCCTTGCCAGCTACTTTATTTTTTTTAATTGACAAGTAGTAATTATAGGTATTTATGGGATACCATGTGATGTTTTGATGTATGTTTACCTTGTAGAATGATGAGATCAAGCTAATTAAAAATCCATGGCCTCACATATTTTTTTTGTGTGTGTGCAGGGAAAGCATTTAAAATCTAGTCTTTTAGCAATTTTGAAATATACAGTGCATTATTATTTACTATAGTCGCCATGCTGTGCAATAGATCACTGAAGCTTTTCCCTCCTGTCCAACTGAAACTTTGTACTCTTTGAGCAACATTATCTCCTTTCCCCATTATCCCTCCCCCAGCCTCCCGTACCGCCCCCCCCAGCCAACTACTTTAATGATCTCTCGTGTTTCTTCTCAGCCTTTCCCTTCTGTAATCCTCAGTCTGTGCTGGTAAGAGAATTAGCTGAAATTCATGGTGCTACTTCTGGAACATGTAAAAAGGCCCAACTAATCAAGATGGGATGTGTCACCAGGCCTCATAAGGGCCACGGTCATATTTTTAAAAATTGTCTTAGAGCAGAAATGTTTTCCTCAAATAAAATCATAAAAAGTGTGGATGCTTAGGTTGAACCAGAGAATCAGGGGGCCCGCAGAAGCCCAGTCTAATATCACCAACCCTCTCTTGCAGGGTCCTGAGAACCCTCCAACACCTTATTGTTTCATAGAACACAGTTTGAAAAGCCCTAAAACTTGGCAAATTCTCTTTCCTAAATTTCAAAAGAAAAGGCAGGTATTCGTCTAAATAAAGCCAGGCCATCCTGTCATGTTAATGAGGCTGGATTTACTAAGGGCAATTTACTCACCGATAAATCTGCAGAGCTGTGTTTGAGGTTAGCTTTAATCTTGTCTACCAACCAAACCTCTCACCAAAATTTCAAATTGACTGACTTGAGTTTCATCTCTAGTTTCTGCCTTGCTTATTTGTATGGTTTTAGGGAAGACAATAAAGGAAGGACATTGAGGGTTGGTTGCTTTCATTTTAGATTCCACTAACATTTATTGAACGTCTAGACCCTGTGACATGAACTCTCATTATTAACCTGTAAAGTGAGTATTTATATTTTAAGATGACTAAAGTGAGGCTCACAGAGGTTAAAAGCCTTATTCATAACAGAACTGAAATGAGTTACAGACTTTTTTTAACCCAAAGTTGTAGATTTTTATACCCACTGTATATTGCAATGTGAAAATGGTAACATCTTGCATTTATATAAAGCTCTGTTATGTATAAAACAACCTTTCCTTTTGAAAATCTTGCCATTTGGAACTCAGATATAGTTCTTTTTTTTTTCTTTTTTAAAGAAACTAATTATTGGTTCTCAAACTAAAGATGACAAAATCTAGTCTGTGAAAATCAGTCAAAAACCAAAGACCACTTAAGCGATGTACCTGGGATTCAAACCAGTTCATCTGGCAGCAAACCATTCCCAGCCCGCTACACCCCACAGTGACAGCCTTTACCCCTTGCATCCAACCTCAGCCACTTTCCTGGTAAAGTGTGCACTTGGTGACCCCTAAATCAGGATTTTAAAAATATGCATCAACTTGGCTTCTTTTGTTCCATGGGAGCCCAGCCCTCTCTGATCAAAAGCACCGCAAGCTTCCCTTTATTTTTCAACAATCGTTTCATTTATGCCTGGCTCCAGGTGGCAGGAGGGCTGGCTGTTTAAACTCTTTCATGACAAAGGAAAAAGAGCCTTATTGCATAAGAGAGGTGATGGGAGGGAGATAGTACTTTGTATCCATTAAACGCCCAGCCTAAACTAACCTCGGATCTCTGAAGCCCTGCTGTGGTTAGAAAATAACATGAAGAGGAGTGCCAAGACCTGGATTCCAGTACCGCCTTTTAAAACACTGTTATCTTGGAGAAGTCACTTTACCTCTTCAGCCCTTGGGTTTCTGGTCAATAAAATGAGATGTTCGGATGTATGCCTGAAGTGGGCTTTTCTCACCACTAGGGGGCAGGCAAATACAACTCCTGGGTGCTTCTGTAGCTCACACAAGGGTAAATAACGAAAAGTTTTAATACAAACTTAAAAATTAAAAAAAAAAAAGTAAAATAAAACCCGGGGCTTCTGATAGGGCCTTTGAGTACTCTCAACTCTAGCCCTTCATGTTATTTGGGTTCAATTACATCCATTGCATGCCACAATAATGTCTAGCATTTGTTGAGAGCTTACTGTGTGGAAGCTTACTCTACGGAACATGTTACCTTTAATCCCAAGACAACTGTGCAAGGCGGGCATGATCCACATTTTACCCAGAAGGATCCTGAGGCTCACGGAGGTCATGTAGCCTGCCGAAGGTTACCCAGCTAGCAACTGGCAAAGCTAGGAGGTAGTGCAGATCTGATCACTTCTAAGCCAGACTCTGCTTTTATGTTTTGCTGGTTCCCATAGTTCCTCTCTCTCACAGCCCCCTGGGTGTGTGCATATGGTCCACTCCATCACTACAGTCATGAAGGATAATGCCATGGAAACATTTTTCTCTGTGTTTGAGTGATTCTGATTTCATGAAATGATAGAAATTATAATTATGTTAAATATTGTCAGAACATTATTTCTGGAATAGTATTTGATTAACTTGTATTGTCTCCATTCATCCCACAGAGCTCTGGTGCCCACATTCAACACTCCTTTGTTCTTCCTGCAGGCTGTTCTCCACCAGCGCCTCTCCTATTCTCTCTCCCTGAAGCTTACAGCTACAAATGCCCATAGGAATCAACACAAACTCTCCCATCCAGCCTCTATTGTTTGCCATTTGCCCCTTCCCATCTCACCTTGGCTAAGGTTTTGCTTTGACCTGCTATTTCCAGTTATATCAATCAATGTATGTTTCTTAACAGTAGCCACCATTTGAACTATTCTCTCATAGTTGCCATATTCAGTTACTTAGTATTTTTAACATCACATTGAAAATGTATCCTTCAAAATACTTTCATTGAATATCATTACCAAACTCTGAACATGACTTTGCTTAACTTTTATTTTCTATTTTATTAATTTAATCACCTTGTATTTTGCCTCTCAGATCTCTTGTTTCATGGGCTTACAGTGTATTCCTAACTAGATGCAAATTTCTTGAAATCACTGGTATTTGATTTCTGCAAGTATTTAGTTGAGTATTAATAATAAAATACTGAGCTGGATGCCATTTCTAATCCTAATTAATGAGGCAGGAAGCCGATCAGGTGCATCATTTCATAGCTCAGTCAGTCATCAAATATTAAGTGCCCCCTGGGGAATATTGTGGGAACCTATAATGTTCCAAATTCTATGCTTTGTGCTTTAATACATGGTCTCATATCATTCTCCCAAAAACCCAGTGGAGAAAACACCATTATTATCATTCACAATTAACAAGTGAGACAGCCAATAAAGGAAGGAAATAAAGGAAGGAAATTAACAAGTGAGATGGCCAACAAGTGAGATGGCCAAGTGAGATGGCCAAGAGTCTTATTCAAAGTCACAGTGCTGACCAGGGTGGGATTTAAATACAGGGAGTCTGACCCCAGCTAAAGCTCATGACTTTAATCACTCCTGTATCCCACCTTATATCCAGACTTTGGCACTGTTTTGCCTTGAGGTTGCAGAACTGGGGGTTAGGAGAAGGTAAGGGAGTAATAATGGGGAAAGTCATGAGAGTGGAACTGGGTGGCTGGGTGGAAGTCTTCTTATTCCACAGTGTGACTCTCCCTGTAACCACAAACATCTTGAAGCAGTAAATTCTAAATTTCATGAAATGCTTCAGAGTCAAGTCCTTACAGAAACTCTGGGAAAAATTCAAAGTAGCTCAAGAAGGTGCAAAGTCTTAGTGAAAATTCTGATTTTATCTAGATTTACTAAAGAACTGGGTGCCTCAGCTGTGAGCAAAAGTTACTAGTTTGGTCACCAGTCTTTAAAACTAAACCAAACCAAAGCAAACAACAAACAACAGAAAACATGTATCACTTTGAATTAAAATGACTCAATGAGAGAACATGTTGATGTTAAACAAAGGTAAAGTTCCCAGCTGAGGATCACTAGGCTTCTGCGGTCTTCCCAGATCCACTGCTACATGGTCACTGTGAGCACTGCTTGTGGCCTTGGGAGTGCACAAAGGCTGGTACTCTTCTTTATCCTGTCCCTTGTTTCTTTGCATCTGTCATAGTCGCTGCAGAATAGCAAGTCTGTCACTCACAATGGCCACAAATCAGAACAGATGATCGTTACAAACAACCCATGTGGACAGCAAATGCCAATTAATTATTAGATCTGGCTAGTCCAAACATGTGCTGTGCTGTTTCTCTGATTGCTAGCAAAGAAAGAAGAGGTGGGCTGTAGGCTAGACTTCAGGTACCATGGAAGACTAGGATTGGCCACTGACATTGGCAAATCTGGTAGGTTTTCAGAAAAATACCAGAGGGTGATTAGAGCATATGGGACATTCTAAAAACAGAAAGTCAAGTAAGTGGTACCCAAACCTCTCTAATTATTGGAATTACCTCATGGGTTAAATAAATACAGACGCTAGGCTCTATCTATGACCTACTGAAACTTTAGTCATGGGAGATGAGAAGATGCATTAAAAAGCAAAAATTCCCCATGTGATTTTGTTAATCATTTTGAGGAACAATTTATTTGAGGACACGTTTCATAGTTGGTCTTTACTTGTTGTTTTTGAAACTTTTGCTATTTCTTGGTGGAGATCCAGGACTGTTTTCTTGGTTACAAAGGTCAATTAGTTAAGCAATGGAATAAGTGGACCAAGCATTCAAGATTTATACTGTGTGTGTGTGTGTATGTGTGTGTATGTGTGTGTGTATGTGTGTATGTGTGTGTGTGTGTAATGTATTTAAAATATGACTTAAGGTCTATAATTAAGCCCAGTGAAAATGTAGTATTTTAGTGTTTGGTTTTATGCTACATTTCATGTGTGAAATGATAATGATTATAATATAATAAAAATGATCATACTCAGAACCCATCTCAACAGTGTCAATTACGCATCATTGCCAAGTGCATGGCTATGGTAGGTTGCTTCAGCTTCTTTCTTTCCTTCTAGGTTGAGATAATTGCAATTTATTGTATTCTAAGCATAGTATCTTATAGACTTTTCAAATATTGAAAAAGACCAGTACAATTTGCATAATGACAATTGCCCTTTCCCCACGTTTTCTCTCGTAGGGCAGCGATTTTTGAGTCCATAGATGGGCCAGTAAGAAGTCTATACTGAAATCAGTGTTGTGCCTGTAAGTTCGCTTGGGGATCACCTCAATAAACTCTGGGACATATACTTCTTTCTTCAGAAAAATTGGTCATATTTTTCTGGCATGGAGCCAGTTGTAAGACAAAGGACTATGTCACTGGTTATAGCACTATTTCTGAACTAAGTAATACAGAATGTTCTTAATTGACAGAAAGTGATAAAAAATAAATATAATGACTAGATATCCATGTGTGCACCAGAGGCTCTGATGCAGATGAACCAGTGTTGGAGAGTCTGTGATTGCTTTAAAAATAAACTCAAAATAATTTGAAAAAAAATAAAAGCTGCAATTCTCAATTAGGTGTCTTTAAAGTAAGTATTGGAATGGAAAGGAAATTTTAATTTAAAAAAATAAAAATTCCTAATAAAAAGTATATGTTTACTATGAAACACCTAAGTAAGAAATTATTTAATAGGCATTTCTTGGGAAACAAAACTTTAAAAAAATAGACACAAAAAGGTATAAATGGAATAATAAAATTTTGAAAGAATAAAAGTGTTGAAAAGTGTGCTTCAAATGTTCATTACCCAAAAAGAAACTGGGTTCCTTGTATCCAATTTTATTTTTAACATAAACTTGATCATATCATTTAGAATAGTGGGTCTCAACTTTCTGAAGGCACAAAACTTCATTTATTTTCCAGTAACCTCTACATAATCGTATCTGTACTTTTATCATGTAATGATTGTGGCAATGCATAATTAGAAAATCATAATGAATTTAACAGCACTTCAAATAATTGCTATTTCATAAATCAGAGCAGTGCATATGAATCATATAAATTTTAAAACAGTAGCAGCTATACGTGCAAGACATTTATGCAATCTATAGACATTGAGTATATATGCTCTGAAAATATGGATTCTTCTATCCCTTCTTGTATTAATTCTCCAAATCTCCAGGGTACTCATGGCCCACATATTTGGGATTATTATAGAGTAAAAACAAGAATAATGAATGATTTGTTAACCTCCCCCAGAAATGTGTCATCAAAGGCCTCCAGGCTGAAAAGTATTCTCTCCTACTGAGGTCTGCACTGAGCACCACTTACATCCGATGGAGCCCATCTTGCTGACCTGGATCCCTGGCCACATGTGTCTGAACAGTATGATGTGGAAGAGAGCCAGAGAAGGGGAGCCAGTTGCTAGTGCTGAATGAGGATTTGGGGCTAATCATTTTGTCTCCCTTTTTATTTGCTAAATTAAGACTCCAGTGCTCTTGTTATTATCCTATTATAGGATACTGAGAGGAATAAAGTTAATCGGAAGGAGCAATCAGAAAGCTTTGGCTGAAAAGAATGATTTAAACCACTGGAGAAAACTTGTCCAATTATGAAGAAAGAAGTGGAACCGATGTAAACTTTTGGGTTTTTCTGTTTGTGTAAATCAATAACAAGGGGTCTGGAGCATGCAATTTTCTTCTACGTATGTTATTCTTTCACAAGCAGATAGAAATAAAGGCACCCAGCCTGCAGGAGAAAGTTTGGAATAGCGGGTCTGAAATAACTCTGCTTGTTGTTCACCCTCTCCTGTGGCTAGCCTGACCTATAAATCATGCTTTAGATTCCGGCTGAATCTCCCCCAGTGCTATGCAATACTCGGTACTCAGTGGTGTGTAAAAATTCTTTGGAAGTTGCTTAGATGAATATATAATAACTTTTCATACATTCAAAATACCATTTATTTAACTCACAAGAGAGGAACTCTAATCATGGCAATATTAAGTACTATAATGAACCACGGGGTAGCAGATGGGCCCTGGGGTAAACAGTTTCTGTACTATTGATTTACTTATTTGATTTCCTTGTGAAACGTTCATGACCTGAACCATTGCTGTAGAATACAAATGCAGGTTTTCTATCCAAGTCAGGCATTAAGATTATTTCTTTAAAAGAATCTGAGTGTTCTCTGGCAAGCCAAATGAAGACTAGTTAGTGCCTTGGGCCCTGGAAGTCAGTGTTTTGCAGTTTGATCAGGTTTGTGAGAATGATTTCTCTATAGAGAGTGCCACAACTTCTATCAAGACACCATCCATATTATTTCATTTCTAGAAACTTCCATTTAGAGCTCACTATCTGCATGACATTCTGTTGCATATATGTTTGTGATCTGAAGATAGTAAGATATGATTCCTATCCTCAAAGAAATACACAATATTTACAATAGCCATATGGCTACAGAAGACAATCAAACATATAAGATGCAAGCTTAAATGCCTCGGGGCCCAGGCAGAGAGTGTCAATGTGTGGGGCTGCCTGCTATACGACAATAGGGAGTGATGGGGACTATGCCCGACTGGGACATTCATTACCCTCTTAAGTTCAAATTCATATTTAAAAACACTGCTCTGCTGGTCAAGGAAAAACATACATGCGGGTACATTAACTCTTGAACTCTTTATGGGTGCACATACTCTTGTTCCAGTGTCTAGCAGCTATGTGAAGTTGACTTAATTGACACAATTTTGCAAATAAGGTAGAGGCTCTACAAGGTCAAGGTCTTGGCCAAGGTGACTCAGTTAAGTAGGAGGGCAAAGATAAGAAGTTGAAATTCTATGGACCCAAGCCTGGTTATTTTTTTAAAAAACTAGCAGGGGCAGGAAGAAGCCAGAAATGGTAACTAATTATTTTGCATGTACTCACTTTTCTGATATCTGACTCATTATTCAAGGGCTCCTCCAGTGAATTTGTCTTGCCAGTTTCCCCATATTTTCATATAGCATTAAAGAACACAGTAAATGTGAGTGATCCTTCATAATCAACATGCTTCTGATATGTCAGGGGTCTCTAGGTTACATTCAATATATTCATGGATTTGCTTTCCAAAGACAGGATGATGTTGCTGAGTAAAATAGATTCATGAAAAAAGGGAGCTTCTACCCTCTGAGCAGGCTGGTCTATCCGGAGTAGACTCAACACAGAGCTACAGATTTCTAGCGATTTCTGAGCAGGATGCCCAAAATGAGTATAGGACTTGAGGTCTTATCTTCAGGTCAAACAAAAATATGGACTTTGGAATTAAGAAAAGCTAGATACAAAACCTGTGGTCCTGGGTGACTTCGAGGAATCTGATTAAAACTTTGATATCGGCTGGGCGCGGTGGCTCAAGCCTGTAATCCCAGCACTTTGGGAGGCCGAGGCGGG